TTTTTTTTTTTTTTTTTTTTTAGGACTAGGGATTAGACCCAGAATCTTCTTTTTTTGTTGCTTTTTGGTATCAGGACCTGTATTCATGAGGCAGGTGCTCGTGCCACTGAGCTGTGTCTCTGGCCTGGGACCTAGAACCTTTGTGCTCCACTACATCACTAGCTCTTTTTATTTTGAGACAGGATCTCCCTACATCACTACATTGCCCAGACTGGGCTCAGACTTGCAGTCCCCCCATCTCAGCCTCCCACAGTGAGAGAATCGCAGGCGTGCACCGCTGCACCTGGCCTGAGCCACGCCTCTTGATCTTGAACACGCAGTTGGGTGCTTGTGGGTACTGTGAGAGCCATTCTTGTCCATTTAGACAGAACAGGGGGGCCGAGGAGATGGCTCAGTGGAATAAGCACTTCCCTAGCAAGTGCGAGGGTCTGAGTTCAATCCCGGATTCCGCCAAAAAACCAAAAACAAACAAACAAACAAACAAACAAAAGATGGAACAGGAAAGGGAAAGGTGTGCAGGGGGAAAGGGAAAATGATGAAGACAGATTACAAAACATTAATCCTTGTGTAATCTCAGTGAAGAGTATATATTGATGCTTTACTATTGCAACTCTTCTCTAAGTCTGAAACTTTCAAAATGAAAAGTATTTTAAAAATCAGTATTCAGGGCTAAGGAGGTAGCTTGGCCTGGAAAGTGCAAGGACCCAGGTCTGATTCCCGGTTATGCATGCCATGCCAGCCGATCGAGTCAGCCCCTGAAACCAGGCACAGTGGTGCATACCTGCGCTGGGGAGGCTGAAACAGGAGGATCACTATGAGTCTGAGCCACGTAGTGAGACCCTGTACCAAATACATACATTAAAAAAATCCGTATTCTAGCCACATCTGGTGGCACATGCCTGTAATCCCAGCACTTATGAGACTGAGGCAAAAGGATCACTGTGAGTTCTAGGCTGGCCTTGGCTACACAGTGAGACATTGTCTCAAAAAATAAAAATAAAAATCTATATTTATGAGCAAGTCTAGCAGTGCAGGCCAACGCCAGCCTCCACCTACCGCCTCCCTGCCCTCCCTGCCCTCCTCTCTCACAGGGCCCTCTGCACCCCCCTTCCCACCCCCACCTCTTCCTCACCTATTTCCTACTGTGCAGGGCCTTGCTGTTTTCATGCTTTTTTCCTGGCTTCCTACTGCGGTCCATCTCAGTACCTTGATCTCTTTCCTGCCTATTGGAGTCTCGAGATTCCCCAGCATCCAGTAGCCCCAGGAAGCCGACCTTTCCTCTACACTTGAGACCTCATTCCTCACTTGGCATGTCTTTCTTTCATTCTTTTTTCTCTTTTTTGGCATCACTGAGAATTGAACCAGGTGACACATACCTATAATCCCTGCACTCACTTGGAGGTTGATGCAGGAGGGTCACTGGGACTTAGGGACCAGCCTGGGCTACAAAGTGAGCTCAAGGCCTGCCTGAGCTGCACAGTGAGACTCTGTCTCAAAAAGACCAACAGACACACACACACACACACACACACACACACAGAGCATTAAGCTACATCCCTGGCTCAATTTTTTAACTTCATTTTTTATTTTGAGACAAGTTCTCAAAAGTTGCCCAAGCTGGATTTGAATTTGTAATCCTCTTTCTGCCAAAAGAAAAAAAAAGATTGGGGCCAGGGAGATAGCTCAGTAGAATAAGCACTTCCCTGGCAGACGCAAGGGCCTGAGTTCAATCCCCGATTCTGCCAAAAAAAAAAAAGAAATGAATTTGTAATCCTCCTGCATCAGCCTCTCAGAGTACTGGGATTATAGGTGTGTCCCACTGTGCTTGGTTCTCCATTCTATCTTTAATTTTTTCCTGGCCAGTAAACTGTCTTTTCCTGGCCTCAAAGGCTGACTTGTATAAGCTATAAACTCCCTTCCACCACCTTTTTTTTTTTTTGAGACTAGTTGTCACTGCAGTACAGGCTGGCCCTGAACTCACTCTGTAGCCCAGTCGGGCCTTAACTCACAGTGATCCTCCTACTTCAGCCTCCAGAGTGCTGGGATTACACGTGTGTGCCAGCACGCCTGATTAAATGCATTTTGAAGCATGTATGCATCAGCCCGCCCAAATCACCCTGACTTCTCTATTAGTACCTGCTGCCCATTCTCCATTGTGTTGTCCACTCAGAGTAAATACTTGCATAAATGTCTGTGCCCGTAGAAAGACTACAGATTGTAAGCTATTTTCCATAAAGGCTCTTGTGCTGTACATCTTTATTTGCCGGTGTGCTTTGCTACCAAAGGCGCATCTTGTCTTCTGGTTACTGTGTAATTCCATGTGTTGTTTAGAAATGTAGCCATTCCTGGCCCGCACACCGGCCCACACTGGTAATCCCAGCTACTTGGGAGGCTTAAGGCAAGGGGATCACAAGTTCAAGGCAAACCTTGGCCAGTAGGCTAGACCTTGTCTTAAAAACCAGAAAAGGAGCTGGGGCTGGTGGTACATGGCTGTTGTCCCAGTACTCGGGAGGCTGAGGCAGGAAGATCCTTGCAAGTTTGAGACCAGCCTGGGCTACAAAGTGAGTTCAAGGCCAGCCTGAACTACATAGTGAGACCTTGTCTCAAAAAAGACCAAAACAGAAAAGGATGACTCAGCGGCATAAGCGCCTGCCTGTTAAGCATAAGGTCCTGAGTTTAATCTCCGGTACCAAGGGAAAAAAAAAAAAAAAAAAAGATCAAAAAAGGGCTGCGAATGTAGCTCAGTGATCAAACACCCCAGGGTTCCATCCCCAGTACCAAAAAAGAAAAGCAGTTCAGCTGATCCCTTAGTGAGCGTCACATACGTAAGAGAAAACCGTGCTGTAACCAAGCGTCCTTGTTTGTGTGTCCTTGGGTGGCTAGAGTTCTTTTTTTTTTATTTGGTACTGGGTCTACAGGGTCTCACTACAAGAATCAGACTCATAGTGATCCTCCTGTTTTCAGCCTCCAAGCACTGGGATTATAGGCGCATGCCACCATACCCAGTCTCTGTGGCCATCAGAGTGCGCACTGGGGGATCGAACCCCAGCCGCTACGCTCTGCCTAAGCAGGCACTTTAGTCTGCTGAGCTATCTGGCTGGCCCTAGAGTTCTTTTTTTAAGAGAAATGAAACAGCAATGCTGGGTGCTGGGATGTACGCGGCCACTTACATGAATGCGAGTCTGCGTACTTTGTAGCTCTACGCTTTCTCTTTCCTGCTTAGCCTTGAACAACAACTTGTGCTGGATGCTTTCGACCCCGATCCCCACAGGCCCTGCCCCCTCCGCTGGCCTTGCTTTGGCAAATCCTTAACACAGCTTCTCTGCAAATTCATTCTATCCCTTGTGGGCAAGCGTGCCATGTCCATTCTTGAACCACTCTCCTACTAAAACACATCTTCCTGGGCGTGGTGGAGCAATCCTGTAATCGCAGCTACTTGGAGCTGAAGCAAAAGGAGCAGGAATTCAAAGCCACCATGGACATTGTAACAAGACCCTGCTTCAAAAGAGCCGGGCATGAAGGTGCACACCTGTAATCCCAGCACTCAAAGAGGCTGAGGCAAAAAAAAAAAAAAAAAAGGCTGAGGCAGGAGGATCACTGTGAGTTCAAGGCCAGCCTGAGCTACACGGGGAGACCCTGTCTCAGAAGAAAAGTAAGGACGGAGTAGAGGTGGGAGGTTGCATGTACTAGACTATGTGTTCTTCCCTGAATGCCCATGCTTCCTCTTGGGGCCTTTGTAGCAAGAGCAGCCTTTTCTGTAAAGCCCCGGCTGGGAGGGCCTTCCCTGATTTCTTCTCTGAGCATCCGCTGCATCCCTCACTGTGACATCGTCCATAGTTTCCCTGGACAGCGTGGCCTATGTCTGCCCTGTCACCCTGCTGGCGCTGGAACCTCACACAGGGCTGAAGTTCTGTGTGCCTCCTCCCCTCCTCTGTGCGCCCAGAGTTCTGTGCACGTGTGTGCATGTGCGGTTCATGGGGTGGGGACCCTTGCTCCACCTGTGTACCCCAGGAGGGGCCTGGAGAGCCTCTGCCTTCTGCAGCCAGGGTCCTCTAGAGAAGGAGCACAGGCAGCCCCGCTAGGGGTCAAGGCTTGCTTCAGTTCTTTCCCAGCTGTGTGACGTTGATACATCTCCTACCCTCTCTGAACCTCTTTCCTATCCATGCCTGCTTCCTGCAGAACGTTGTCAAAGACCATGTGAGGTCATGTTTGGAGAGACAATGCTGCAAGCTCTGAAAGCATTTGTCTTTTTTTTGTCCTGATGGAGGAGGGCGATGACTGGGGTGCAGTGGGTTTCTTGTGACCATGAGGTGACCTTGAAAGCAAAGCTTAAAATTTACTCACGAGGGCTGGGGAGGTAGCTCCGCAGTCTAAGCACCTGCCTGGCAAGTACAAGGACCGGGGTTCGATCCCCGGTACTACCGCATGCCATGCGGGCCCTGAAACCCTGGTTGTGCAGTGCCAGACACTGTAATCCCAGCACTGGGGAGGCTGAGACAGGAGGATCACTATGAACCTGAGCTGCCTGGCGCGACCTGGTACCAAATAAATAAAAAGATATATAAAAAAATTACCCACAAGAGCATTTTATACCCACCCTACTTGCAGGGTAGTTACCCCCATGGGGTAATTGCTGCTTCATCTTCCCTGATATTTTCCTACACCTGGCAGTCCTTTACCTGGGCTCCCTCCTAGTGGATTTGTAGCTCAGAGACCACGGTGCACTGAGCCAGGGAAAATGCTCTTAGCCCCTCCACGATGCGTGGTCACCTGCCCCTTAGCGCTTGGGACCACATGACTCCTTCCTTGTACCTGCTATTTGGGGACGTGTAAAACCGATGCCACGCCTCGGCAAGGCAGGAGCAGCCAACACAGACTCCAGCTAGGCAACTGAGTAAGATTCTGTCTCAAAATAAATAATTAAAAAGGGCTGGGGGCGTGGCTCAGTGGTAGAACAGCATGCCTGAGGCCCTGGGTTCAATCCGCAGTACTTCAAAGAAAAAAATTTTTTTTCTTCTGCTGTGGGCTTTGACCTTTGATGCCGTAGCTCAGATTTGGCTCTAGCAGTCACAGCTCTGCTTACCCTGTGACACTGTCTTCCCCCCCCAGCCCAGCACCCCGCTGCAGGTGGTTCTGCCCAATACTGCCCTGCATCTGAAGGCACTGCTGGACTTCGTGGATAAGAATGGAGACAAGGTGGTGGCCGGAGATGAGTGGCTGTTTGAGGGGCCTGGTGAGTTGTCTGTCCATCTAGGCTGCTGGTGGGGGACTCCCTGCCTTTCCCCTGGGCCCTTGACACCCTTGGGCCCACACTTCATCCTTTCCCAGGCACGTACATCCCCCAGAAGGAGGTGGAAGTCGTGGAGACCATCCAGGCCACCGTCATCAAACCCAACCAGGCTCTGCGGCTGAGGGCCCGCAAGGAGTGCTGGGACCGGGATGGCAAGGAGAGAGTGACAGGTGGAGTCTCCAAGGGGACCAGTGGAGGGGGGGGCAAGGAGCCCGGGTCTTAGGGGAAAGCCACTTGCAGCCCGAGAGGCGCCACCCTGACGCCTCACAGCTGCTGGGGTCCCCACAGCTTCCTCCACGCACATGCGCCTGCTTGCTGGCCTCGCCCGCCCCACCTGCACTCTGTGGGAAGCCGAGGCCGGGTCTTGTCTGGTTCTAGGTCAGGTAGGCAGATGTTCACTGCAGCACGCAAATGCAGCGTCCCCCCACGGGATGTGGTTCTCGTGTCTGATAAAGCGTAATTTGTCTAGCTCTAACAACCTCAAGCTGTGGCTGTCGCTGTTTTCCCTGACCCAGAACTAAGGAACAGTCAGGTTATTTGCCAGGCTGTGTGGCCAGGCAGGGTGAGGCTGGGACTTGCTGCTACCCATTCTTTTTTTTTTTTTTTTTTTTTTTGGCGGAACCTGGGATTGAACTCAGACCCTTGTGCTTGCCAAGGAAGTGCTTATTCCACTGAGCCATCTCCCCAGCACCCCCACGCATTCTTTTCTTTTCTTTTCTTCTCTCTTTTTTTTTTTTAATGTATTTGGTACAGAGTCTCACTACATAAATCAGACTCATCATGATTCTTCTGTTTTCAGCTTCCCAAGCACTGGGGTTGCCAGCACAGCAGGCAGGGGATGGAACCCTGGCTGCTAGGATCTGCCTAAGCTCTAAGCAGGCGCTTTAGTCCACTGAGCTATCTGGCTGGTCCTCCCACACATTCTTGCTGTTACAAAAAACCAGAACAACATCTAGAACTCTTTATTTCCTTTTTCTTTGCAGTATACTGAACTACATCCTTACCCCATGTGATTTTTTTTTTTTTTTTTTTTTTTTTTTTTTTTTTT